CATCTACAGACCACATTCTCAGAAACACGGCACTGGCTGTGCTTTCTACAGACCCCCAACCCAGAGATCAGAGTTAGAAGGTGCTGGATAATAATGTGAAGAGCATTCTAATAATAACAGAGTATGGTCTACACTCAGCCCACTACGTGCCGGGAGCGGTTTCAAACACTTTACATATTTTAACTCATGAGATGGAGACTACTATTTTCCCCGTTTTACAGATGAGGAAATGAGTTAGAGAAAGCTTCTACAACTTGCCCACAGCCCTATATCTGGTAACAACCGGTTAGCCGACTTGATCATAATGATCCTTATTTTTTATCTCGCCCCTGCGTTCACCTGTACCGACATGCCCCCGGGACATGAGGAGGGGGGTCAGGGGGCATGCCGGGAGGCAGAGCCGTGTGTATAAGAGCGAGGTGCTGAGAGATCGGGGGGTCCCCAGGTCTGTTCCAAAGATGGAAAGGTCAGTCACCGGCCTTGCCCTGAGCCCCAGCCAGGTTTCTAGATGCAGATCTTGGCTGTGAGCTCAGGGAGGGAGACCCGTGGGCAGTGCCTGGCAGAGGCTCCAAGGAGGTGGCAGGTGGCTGTGTGAAGGCTCCCACCTGGCCGACCCAGTCTCCCTCCCCGTGTCCAGGGCCCCAAAGGACCCTTGGGGGCTCCTACCTTCTTCCCTTGAGTTGCTCCCATGGCATGAAGTGGGCACCAGGCCTGGGTGGGCCTCGGGGGCTGAGCTGGGGTCCTTCCTGCTGGTGCTGATCTTAGGAGCCCAGGCCCCAGGGGTTCCCTGGGCCAGGGCCCCCAGGCCTCCCACGGCTCATGCTCCTCTGGCGCACAGGTGCTTTCACAGCTGCTCCTGAGCCCGGCGCTCCTCACCCAGGCTTAGGGTGATTGGTCTTGACAGGGGGCCCGGTGGCCCCAGGTGGCCCACGAGCCCTCCTGGGGTTTCTGTGGCTCGTCACCCCCTAGACCCCTGCCTCTCTCTCTCGGGAAGGAAACTGAGGCAGCCGGGGTCGGGGAGAAGCAAAGCAGTCCTCTCAGGGTGCAGCCAGCAGCTCCGGAGCAGCGGGTGACACCTGGGCGGCCCAGCGGGCAGGACTTGGCCTTCTTGCAGGCCGGGCACCGCTCAGCAGCCAGGGCCCAGACAGCGGAGGCTGCGTGGGGAGCTGGGGCAGGGGCTCGGCGGGCTTGTGTGGGGAAGTAAAGCCCCGGCTGGACAGCCCATTAATAATAGATCTTTGAAGACACTTGTGGCCGGGCTGTCCCAGGGCAGAGTACTCCATTCAGGGCAGCCGTCCCCGCGGGGAGGGCTGCAGGGCGGCTGGCTGAGCTCAGGCCAGGAAAATATCTGGAGGCCAGATTCCAGGCCAGGGGCCAAGTTCTCAAAGTACCCCTGGCAGTCCCCTCCTCCGCACTCGCCAGCCCCTTCCTTCTCTTTGTCGCCAACATGGGGCGAGATGAAGGCTGGAATCCCATTGGTCGCAGCTCTGTTTCTCACAGTCTGTGAGCCAGGGCGCATGACTGGACCTGGGAGCCTCAGTTTCTTCATCTGTGGGGTCAGACAATCATATGGCACAGGGCTGCCCTGAGGACTGAAAGGGGAGGCGTTTGTAGCTGCAGCCATTGTTTTGTTAAAGCATAAATCAGATGGTGCCATTCACTGTTTTATAATCTTCCTCTTGACCAAAGAGTCATAACGGATGCAATGCAGTGATTCATGTAAAACTCTTCACAGAGAGTCTTGGACCACAGCAATTCTCCATAGAAGTCAGGTGCTGCAGTTATGACGCTGTTAATAGCACTGTTGATAAATCCTCTGCCCATGGGCAAGTCCCGGGTAACCAATCCATTAAGCACAACAGCTTTCCCAAGAGCTGGGTGGGTAGGTGGGGGAAAACTTGGCACCCTTCCCTTTCTTCTGGCACAGTGCCTGGCCCGGAGGAAGTCCTGATGACTTGTGAAATGGCTGTTGGTGGTAGAGGGTCAAGGATCAGGCACAGTAGGTCCGGCTTTGCCCGTGGAGTGACATCCCCAAGGTTCACAAGATGATCGTGGTGCACACATAACGTGTCAAGTCTTGCTTGCCCCTCGGGCCTCATTTTGCTCTTACCTCTCTCCCTCACAGTTCCTGGATCGCACCATCTTGACCCCTGCTCCAGGATCTTTGCACTTGCTGTTCTCTCTGCCATCTCTCTCCCTTGACTCCATTTTTTGAAAACTGCATACTTCTTTCCTTTCTGTTTTTAAGCTCCCTTATCACCTCCTCAGGGAAGCTTTCCCTGACCCCCTATGCCAAGCAGCTTCCCAGGCTTTCTGTTTATTATTTTTTTTCACAGAATTTTCCGGCAACTGAAATGACATCTGTGTTTATTGTCTGTCTTCCCCACCAGCAGTGGCAGTTTCACAAAGACTGGCCCTGGTTTGTCTTGTTCATCAGGTTGCCCCTGGGTCTAGAATAATGCTTGGCACAGTGCAGCCGCTCAGTAAATATTGTGGAGCGAATGAAAAGATGGTGGTAGATTAAATAAAGCAGTCTAAGTATGGGGAGTGCTTAACACAGCCCCTGCTCAGCGCAAGCGCTCCCTGCATGACAATTATTAATACTGTTGTTATTGTTGTTGCTGTATTTCCCTCAATACCCTTGGCCCCTCCAGCCGAGCAAAAATGTGGCTTCTTCCTTCCACCTCTTCCCCTGGGTCCAGCCCCTGCTGCTGCTGTTCCCTGTTCCTTTCCTGTCTGTTCCAGTCATGGCTGGGGCACAGCTCCTGATTTCCTATAGTAAGAAAAGCATCCCCCAAATAGTGAAGGGCAATGACTAAACAGGCAGGCGGCCAGAGCAGTAAAAATGCAACAAGTCAACCCTGAAATCAAGCTTCTTTGGCAGCCATCCCAAAAGTATCCACCAGCTTGGCTCTTGGGAGGAGATAAAAAGAATTTTACACATTTATTAATTCCCTCCCCCACCTGCTTGGAGTCTTGCTGAAATATGACTTATGAGCCGCACTGAAATCTGGGTTGACTGGGGCCTTCGATTGGTTGAAAGTTTGAAGCCTGGCCTTGGCAAGATGTGAGTCTGAAATGCAACATTTGACGCCATGCCATGGGCAGGAAAAATGGGGGTGGGGTGGCCTTGGAGCCTGGCCTAGGGCCTGGCACAGGGTTGGTGGTGAAGGGTCAAGGACCAGGTGTTCTAGGTCCAGCTTTGCCTTGTTTCACTGTGTGGCCCAAGCACAGCTCTTGGCCTCTCTTTCTCCATCTGCAAAATGGGGATAAAGCTCTGCTCCTTTTTGACCCATAGCTTTGTAGAAGGAAGCCAGCTTGGAGAATGTGGGAGGGGTTTGAAGAGGAGTTCCAGATCTCTCAAAGTCGCGCACTTTCTACCTCTCCCAAAGCAGGGGTGGTGGGTACTGAGAGATTCTGAGCACTTTTCAATGTCCTCAGAGGCATTCAGGAGGAAGAAGAGGAGGGGAGGGAGGGAAGGAGGCGGTGCTGGTGAGGGATCAATGTTTTACGGCAAGTGTTTTTGAAAAGTCTGTTTCCTGTAGAGATGGAGAGTGACTGGGATTGCAATCCTTTTTCTGAGGCTCCTTAGCTGTGTGACTTTGGACAAGTTGCTTGACCTCTCTGAGCCTCATTTTGCTCCTGTGTAAAGGGGATATCAATGGCCCCTACCCCAAGGGGCTGTGAGGATGAAATGAAGTAATTAATGTAAAACTCTGCACAGAGCGTCTTTGGATAACAGCAATTCTCCATGGAAGTCAGGTGCTGCAGTTATGATGCCGTTAATAACAGTGATGGTAAATCCGCAGCCCATGGGCAAGCTCAAGGTAACGAATCCTTTAAGCACAAAACCTTTCCTGAAAACTGGGTGGGCACAGGAAAGCTGGCCACCCTTCCCTTTCTATCTTGGGCTCCCACCTACTGGCAAAGACCAGAATTACAGCCTCTGGAAGGGGCTTGGTGTGACTGAGGGAACAGATAGATACACCCCCATCGCTCACCCCCACTCCCCTGGCAGAGAGGAAAGGCATGTTGACCAGGGGTGGGTAGGGAAACACAAGCCCCACATGCAGAGGCATGAGTAGCTTGCAGAGGCTCCTGAAGGCTTGTTTTCCCTGATGATGCGAAAATCAGTCCCCAAGCCTTGTCCATTTCACTTCCTGTATCCCTAGGACTGGTCCTCATGCCATCTCCTGGCCCCTACCCCCACCCTCTCTCCCTGGATAGGCCAGCCTCCTCACTGGCCTTCCTACCTCTACTGTCTTCTTCACACAGCAGCCAGGAGGAATTTTTTTAAAACTGCAAATCTGATCATGCCGTTCCCCAGCTTAAATCTCTGTGTGTCCTTGTGGCTCCTGGACTAAGTCTAAGCCCCCTTGCCCAGCCCACAAGGCCTTTCAGGCTCTCATTCCTGCCCACTCAGCCCTTATCACCTGCCCACTGCCCTTCCAGGCCTTGTTCATGCTGTTCCCTTGCCTGGCACACTCCTTCCCATCTTTGCCTGGCGAACTCCTATACATTCCCAAAGCTTCCTCCAGGATGCCTTCCCTGATTCTGCAGCTTTTTTCCCAATATGGCCCTTATTAAGCCATGCTGCTTCTTGACCTGTGCTCTGCACCCCAGACTATGAGCAGGCACTGTGCCTGGTTTTCTTTGCTGCAGGATCTCCAGGGCCTACCTAGTTGCTAACACAGAGCAGGTGAGTAGCAACTGTCACGTGAGGAAACTGGCTTTTAGTGGGTAGTAGACTCAATGATATAGACAACTCTCTACAGCCATTTTCTTGGACTGTGACCTGCCCCATTCCTGAGCTAACTTGGGGTCCCTATAGTGCCCTGGAAATGATGTTGAGAGTCTGACAGATGCTGGCCACTTTGCATGCCCACCCAGGGGGGCCTGGGGTGGGGTGGGGGGGCTGACTCTAGAGCGCTGTCTCCCTGGTGGGTTTTGGTGGCACAGCTGATGGCCTGTCAGGCTCCTTTTCCATAGCCCCATCTGGAGGATGAGCTGCTGAGCCCTGCCCCAGTCGGGGAGGGGGCAGAGGGAGGTGCATGGCCTGCTGTCCCAGCCTCATGGTCCCCAGCGAGCAGCAGCAAGTGGCCTCTCCCACAGGCTCCATGGCAAGTGCAGCTTCTTCACTCTGAGCTTCTTGTTATTGAGAGCTGGCCTTTTAATGACAATTCCTGCAAGACTGGTGGTCTTGTCTCCTAGCCCAGGCCCGTGCTCAGCCCCAGCCAGAGGGCCATGCCCACTGCCTCTGAGAGGATGGGTCTCCCAGAAGCCGACTTTGCGGGTAGGATTCTTGGGAAGGTGATTTACTAAGGACTGGTCCCGGAGGACATGGCTAAGGGAGTGGGGCTGCAGGATGGGGGAAGGGAAGCAATAAGCAAAGGAGGGCTTTCAGGCCAAGTCCCAGCTTCAGTCTGATCCCAGGAGGAACCACGCAGTGTAAGTCACACCTCATGTTTGTCCCACTCCAGTGGGGAGCTGGGTGTTCACAGTCCCAGCCTGGCAGTCAGCTATGGCCCACCCTGGGGTGAATTAAGCTCTGGCACTTCCTGGCCTTTCTCTTCGCACCTGTGAACCAAGGAGGTGCCAGTAGCCCGAGGGCAGTCTTCTGAAGAGCGAAGACTAACCAGTCTGAGCGACAGCTGCCTTTCCAAGCTCCCAAAGAGAGCCTTTGCCCCAGGAGACCCTTTGCCCAATTCTCTGGTTCATCCCATTGGCATTTTTCAGTCTTCTGTAAAGTGCTGTCAGGTCTTTAGAACATAAGCTCCCATCTCCATATTGGCCAATGAAAAATTAAACTATTTTTCTTTCTATCTTGCAGACTCCTGCTCGGGCACTTTGAACAGTGCGCGCAGGCAGATGAACTCAGAAACAACACTGGGTCCCGGTAACAGCACCGCCAAGAGCTTTGCCTGGTTCCTGGCTATGAAGTCACATTAGCAATCCTTACGGTTCTCTTTTAATTTTATAAGGTATTCTTGCTTGTTGTAAAGAAAAAAATTCAAACATACAGAGGTAGTTATGGTAATAAAGGAAGCTTCCTGCCACCTTCGTTCCAGAGTGGGTATCTGGTCAGATGTTTTCAATTTATCTATTTCTCTTTTTTGACAACTTTTGGTGAAGTGGCTATTTTATCATATTTCATGCCTATGAGCCCTGGAGGAACTGATATAATCTCCCAATTACCAAAGGGGGAACTATGGCTCAGAGGGGTGACGTGACCTGCTGGCCCGGCTGGCGAGTGGCAGGGCCCGTGC